AGCCGCCATCCGAGGAAGGCAGGGAGGGAGGAGATCGGCTGGATATTTGCCTCCATTTCTGGTGTTGCTGTTTCTCTGGATTGGGTCCCACATTCTGCTCGTGCTCTTCTCCCTTGATGATCCTAGGATTTTTTGTTCCTGGACTATAAGATTAACTACTCACCCATTTTTGTTACAGAACTTTTATCTTTACAGTTGTAGTAGTTCCAATTAGTCATGATAACAATTGACTCACTATTGAATCATAAAAATCTTACCCCATCTCCTTTTACCAGACCTGTCTAGACAAGATGAAAACTATTCAGTGGAGATTCTACCTTCACCCTACACACTCTTAAACTAAACTCCCTCTTGAAACCTTGTAAGCCAGGCACTTTGTGCCTTTAACACCCCCTCATTTTAGGTAGTCAATGTCTAAGTTACCCATCCCTATCTACCCTGTGTACAGAGGGGATAGCACTGATATTTGATGTGAAGACTCCTTACCTCTCCGTTGGTTTTTTGAGCTACTACTCCATGAGTATAGGTCAGGTTCATCAATTGTAGCAATTTATACTTGTTTCCATTATCAAAATAATTTTTTTTCCTCTAGTTAAGTTCTGATTATCAAGCCATCAAAGCTAGGTCAAATGGGTACTATCTACAAGTTTGAGCATTTGTGTACATCTCCCCTCACTTCGTTTTAAGTTATTTTTACTGAGGAAAATAGCTTGTACTTAAGAGTGTATAATGTCCATATATCCACAGTTTCTCATGTGTTTTGAAGGCCCATCGGAGAAAAAGAGTGTTAGGAAGGAATGCTTATGTGCAGTTTTTCCTAAAATCATGGCCATGCATTGTTAGCACTTTGTACTTTTATTCATGTCACCTCTTTCATATAGCCTTCCTGTGGGGAAGAGAAGACCTGCTAGTAGTCCTCTGGGTGAAGAACTGGAGATATAGGGAATTAACCCAAATTTTAGTGGTGGGAAATCCACTGGAATTAGAACCAAGGATTCAGCTCCAAATCTGAGGCCGTCCAGTCTTCCTCGGGAATCTTCTAGCTTTTGCAGGAATATACCTCCACAGAGTGTATTTATTTGCAAAATGAGCTGAATTAAATTCTCTTTATTTTTTCCCATAATTTCCTTCATTTCCCACAATCTGACACTTGTTTAAAGTCTTTTACCAACATAGAAGATGTGGTGAAGAAAGGGGTTATTGTATATGTGATACATCCAAAAGTATAATTTCCACTTGCCTGAGCTTTTCAAAATAATCAGAGCAGATTTCCAATATTAACAACCCTTTAGACATTATTTTACAGTGAAAGGGCCTGACGATTAAGAAAATCTTACTCATTAAAGTATCACATAGTTAAAAGTGAATAGATCTTAAGTGAACAGCTCAACTAACTTCCAAAAACTGAGTACACTCCTGTAACCATGTAATTCAGATCAAGAAACAATGTTTCCATTGTAGCTGAGTCAGTTTTGACTCATAATAACCCTATCACAAATTACATAGGGTTAGTTCTCCAAGGCTGTAATCTTTATGTAAGGGGATCACCACATCTTTCTTTCGTGGAGCAGCTAATAGGTTTGAACTGCCAAACTTTCAGTTAGCAGTCAAGCATTTTAACTACTTCATCACCAGGGCTCCTTGAAACAACATTCCCAATACCCCACAGACCCTCGTGCTTCCTTCCAGTCACTGCCTCCCTTCAAAAGGAACTGCTGACTTTTTGCCCCATAGATTAGTTCTGGAAGTGGGCCATCTATCTATTCAACCTTCTTGGCTATTCTGATAAAGCTCCCAGGAACCAAAACTTTAAAATCCTATTTGTTGTTGTTGTTGATGATATACATAGCAGAACATATATCAATTCACCAGTTTCTGCGTGTACAATTCAGAGATCCCAATTACATTCCTCAAACTGTGCAACCATTCTCCTCCTCCTTTTCTAAACTGTTCCTCCCTCCTTAACATCAACTCAATACTCCCTAAGTTTCCTGTCTACTCTTTTGAGTTATTGTCACTTTTAGATAGTTCTTAAAAGATCAAAATGCCCAAGGCACACATCCTTTATTAGTTAGGAATATTTTAAAGATTATTTCACGGCAATACTTTTGGTGAGTCATTCAGCCTTCAATGGATCCATAAAGTCTGGATCCCATGGGAATTTAAAATTCTGTTCTGTGTTTTCCTTCTTTTGATCAGGAATCTTCTATAGAATCTTTGTCAAAATAGAACCAAAACATTTAAAATGGAGATTTGGAGTGAGGAGGATGTAATTATTTGAAGAGGGGAAAGTGTTCAAATAGAAAGTTGGGGGCGTGTTTTTTGGGATCGGGAGAATGAGTATAATACACATACTTATAATGTTTACAAATTAATAAGTATTTCATGTTTACAAATAAGGAGCTTTTAAAAAAATAAAAGCTACTAAGAACTCCAAGAGACTCACTCTACCTTTTGATGATCTGCCTGCCTCCTGTGAACCTCTTTTCTCTGCTGTTCTGTCACTCTCTCGTAGACCTCAAGTCCCATAGAAGAGGCTTCCGGAGGAATACAAGGTGCACTCGCCCAACTTCAAGGCTCCGGTAATCAGCCATTAGGAAATAACTTTTCAGAGTATAAATGAGAAAACTGAGGCTCAGTGATTTTCCCTCAGCACGAATCTCTTCTCCTCACCAGCCTCATGGCATTCATCATGTTATTTATACCTTCCCTTGCATTTTTAGAGCACAAAGTATAGTTGTGACTTTTTTCTAGTTACTAAGCTCCGCTCGTTGATTTTTTTGCTGAACTGACCTGAGGATTTTACTTGCAACTACACAGTTTGTTACTGACAGAACAGAAACTAGAATTAGATTCCCACCTCTTTTCCCCACCTTAGAAGCTGGAATTCTACCATAGTTTTCCTGTGCTTGCTTAGATTTTAGCAACGAGTTACCAGAAGCCAGTGGTACAGCAGGTGCAGCATTATGGCCATTTGAACCACAAGGTCAGTGGTTCAAGCTCACCAGCCGCTCCTCGGAAACCCTATACAGGGTCACTCACTATGTGTTAGAACTGACTTGATGGCACTTAACAACAACAACAACAGGGAGGTCTTGGTTGCTTTCTGTCTTATGACAAGTTAACCTTGGATCAATAGCCAGGGGCATGGCACATGACAAGATACAAGTGAACTCTTGCTTCGATTACTGAAAACCATCGAGCTGTCTCACTGTCTGAAATGACTCCATTTCTCCTGTTGTACACTCTGCTTTCCAGATCTCACCTGTGTCCCCACCAGAGTGAGGAGCACTGCAGCAAGCTGGGAGCCCCTAGACAAACATGTAACTTCTCAGAATGATATGCATTAACAGTCTCCGGATCTGAGGCTGAAATCCCTGTCCATGTTCACTTTCTGTGTGTGGGCTCCGTCTCTTTGCTAGTGCTTGGAGAAGAGTAAGGTGGGGTGGAGAAGCTGTAGAGCAGGCAGAGCTGAAAACCAGGGCCGCTTTGATACAGATAATCTGAAGCACATGGAAATGCCTGTGGTTTCTACTCTGTTCTCTTCCCTCAGCAGCCTTTCTCTACCCTCCTTTCCACCTAAGGCTTTAGCTCCCCCTCCACCCTAGGGGACTTGGGGCCACTGGGAAGCATGTCAGGTTCCAGCTGCACTGTGGAGCTTTACTGTATGACCTTGGTTAAGTCACTTCACCCCAGGGCCCTGCCCTCCTTTCACATAACGTGAAGGAGGGAGCCAGTTCCAAAATCACTATGTTCACATCCAGCACTAAATTAGTTTGTTTTCTAGGTGTTTTGCGTTTTAAACGAGGCTCAAAGGAAGAGGAACTCCAAGGCCTTTGTACTGGTAAGGTTCAGAGCTTTCTGGCTTTCCTAATAGTGCACAGTAGACATCCCAGACCTCCAGAATGTGGGGGAAGAGGGGTCATGGGCAGTAGAAACTGGACAGGCTGCTCCAGCTGTCTCAGTCCCTAGAAGCCAGGGCAGCATAGTGGTGGTAAGAAAAGTGGATACTGGCCGAGTCTGACCAGAGATCTGCAAAGCATCTGGATGTTGGAGATGTTGAGAATAGGAACTTCGGATACTTGATGCTGAGGAGAAGACAAATCCCAGTTTCATCCTGACTCTGTATGTATGTGTGATGGCCTGGAGGCAGTTAGTGCTGTGGGAATGCCCAGCTAATGGCCTTTGGTGGACAAACAGTTCTTGGTTTTGACGCCCCCTGGTGTCTGTTGCCAGGAAATGGCGGGTGGGTCAGTTGCCTTCCTGAAGAGACAAAACACCATTTGTTTCCAGAAAGAATGGCACTGTTAGAACTGGAAGGCTAGTAAATGGCTTGATTGTATTTTGAGTGTCAGAATATAGTTCTCCCCTCTGAGCAAGGAAAATAAACTTTCAGGGCAAAAACATCTTCTGTAGCACTCAATCCAATCCCAACTGGGGAAGTACTGTGTTTATCCAGATTATTTCTCATTCTGTGGCCAGACCAATGGAAATCCTAGGGAATGAAAATAATAAACTGGGTTGGCAAAAATTCAAGGTAAAAATGATATTTACTTTATTCTTTCAGGTGAGGAAAGATTCCAGATGACAGGAAGAATCCATGGAAAGAACGATGAGATTTTGTCGAAATCTCAGTTCCAACCTATAGAACGGTATGGATTATTATTATTTGTAGTTCCCAACTCACAGAAGCAGTGCAAATGGTGATAATACCCCCCATCTGTATATTGCTTGTCTTCAAGTGTATTAGCTTTGGGCAGCTTAGTTTTGTTTCAGACTTGTCCAGCAGAATGTTAGGGGAAGTAAAAAACAGGTTCTTATCTGCATTCAGATCTTGACTCTTTCTTTCCGATCCCTGTCTCCTCAGTCAAGTTTTTCAACCCTTCTATTCATTTCCCACCTCTTTAAAATGGGGATAAGAATCCTTACTAGGAATGTTGACATAGAGATTAAAAGTACTAATGGGACTCCTGGGCATTTGCCCAGTGAAATAAAGACTTAAATTCACGCAGAAACGTGTACATGAATGTTTATAGCAGCTCTATTTATAATAGTCTCAAACTGGAAATTGTCCAGATGTCCTTCAACAGAGGACTGGTTAAACACTGTAAGGATGATGTAGCAGAGGCATCAGTTCTCCTCATCTGACTTCCGCAAGGAGGAGAGAGAAACCTTATCTGCATTAACAGCCCAAGACTGATTCCTATTAGGCAGAGGTCAGACATGCCTCCACTCTCCAAACTTTTTACTAATTCTAACAGCAACCGCCTGGCCCCACCCCGCCCCCCAACACTTTCTCTACTTCTTTGCTAGGCTCGATAATTCCTTGCAGTGGCTACACAGAACCCACAGGCCATACGTACAGTTACGGGGTTTAGTAGGGAAATAACATGTCTCAACTCAGGTTCAGGAATGCTCATTCAGTTCTTTGATCAGGACAGCCTCTTCTGGGCTGTGCCTGAAGGCAGGTCTCTCCCTGGCCCTTGTCCCCTCGGCATGGCCACTGCCATGTTAGGGCAAATGTTACAAGACTTTTACCTTGTAACCTCACTCCACCAATCAGCCTCAGCTCCAGCTACTGTGGCAAATCTAGCTCCACCAAGTGCTTGGAGGCACCCCGTTCCACCAGCAAGCTTCCTCCCTAAGGCACTCAGCAGTCTCACTCCAAGCCAGCCATACTGGCTCCTGCCATTCGTCTGTCACTGAGTCACCATCTCTGGTGTTACAGCGCTCTCTGTATCCTAAGTTGAGGAGGTTCTCAGTACAGGGATTCTGGGTCCAAAGGATGTACAGTGCACGCATCTCTTCTTGGTGGTCATTAAGTCCTCCTTTCTGCCTCTGGGAAGGCTCATTTTAAGCCTAGCATAACTGACCAATCTCCTTGTTAGTGTCCCAAATACCTTGTTTGCATGGCTCCACCCCCACAAGAATGTTATGTACCTTATTTACATTATTAGCAAGCTATTCAACCCACTTGGTGGGCCACAAGTACCTTTAATTTGGTGGGAATGACAAGAGTGTGACTAGAAGTGTTATATTAAGGAGTTACTGCACCACAGACCACCCCCTGCTCTTCATTCATGCTTGAAGGATTAACATCCCCCTCCCAATTATTTTACCAGTCCAAAAGGCATTAACAGTTAGTCTGCAGCAGGTCTCCATTTAATCTGGTCATCTTGTCCAAACTTTGTCTCCTCTTCAGCCTTGCTGTCCTCTAGATACAGTTTAATTGAGAGAAGATTATTCCTTTGCTCTGACCCATAACCACCCCTCATCTGCTAGTTTGTTGTGCTGTGGTGGCTTGTGTGTTACTGTGATGCTTGGAGCTATGGCATCAGTCTTTCCAATAGCAGCAGGGTCCCCCATGGTAGACTGATTTCAGGAAAGCTTGTAGACTAAGACTAGGAAGGAGGACCTGGAGATCACGTCTTAACAAAACAGGCCACTGAAAACCTTCAGAGAAGCAGCTGACAGGGTACTACTGGAAGGTGAGCCCCTCAGTTGAAAGGTACTCAAAATATAACTGGCCAAGAGCTGCCCTCCACTAAGTGTGTGGTGGCAGGTTTGATTCATAACAACCCTATATAGGGTTACCAAGGCTGTAGAGGTTTACAGGAGCAGAAAGCCTCAGCTTTCTCCCATGGAGTGGCTGATAGATTTGAACTGCTGACCTCGCAGTTAGCAGCCCAGCTCATAAGCCACTATGCTACCAGGGCTCCTAGCCTCAAAGTAGAATTGACCTTAATGATGTGGGTGGAGCAAAGCTTTTGGACTTTCATTTACTGATGTAGCATGACTCCAAATGAGCAGAAACAGCTACAAACAACCATTCATAGTTGGAATGTGGATTATACAAAATGTGAATCTAGGAAAATTGGAAGTCATAAACAATGAAATGGAACATGTAAAGATCAGTATCCTAAGCTGGTATTGGCCATTTTGAATTGCACAATCTTATGGCCCAGGAATGACAAAAGAAGAATATTTTCATTGTCACAAAGAACATTTCAAGAACTGTCCTGAAGTATAGTGCTGTCAGTGATAGTATAATATCCATACGCTGTGGGTTAATGCGCCAGACTACAAAGCCGTTTGAACTGCAAGGTTGGCGGTTCAAGCTCACCAGCTGCTCCTTGGAAACCCTATACAGGGTCGTTATGGGTCAGAACCAACTTGATGGCACTTCACAACAACAAAGAAGACCAGTTAATATGACTAGTATTCAAATTTACACACCAACCACTAAAGCTAAAGATGAAGAAATGGAAGATTTCTAACCAACTTTTTTGCAATCTGAAATTGATCAAACATGCACTCATTGATAATTATTAGTGATCAGAATGCGAAAGTTTAAAACAAAGAGGAGAGAAGGATTAGTAGTTGGAAAATAAGATCTTGATGATAGAAATGACACTGGAAATCACATGATAGAATTTTGCAAGACCAGCGACATTCACTGCAAATATTTTTTATGAAACCATAAACAGTGACTATATGTTTAGACCTTACTCAACTGCATCTGTGGAAAGATACAATAGAGAAACTCAGAATCATCAGTCAGAACAATGCTATAGTTCAACTGCGGAAAAGACCTTCAGTTGCTTATATGCAAGTTCAAGTTGAAACTGAAGTAATTAAAACCAGTCTGAGAGCCCAAGTATAACCTTGAGTATATCCCACCTGGATTTAGAGACCATCTCAAGAATACTTCTTTGCTAGGCTCGATAATTCCTTGCAGT